AATGCATGGTCCAGTAATTTTATTCATTGTATTTAATAGCTTATTAATGTTTCTGCACCTCTGAGAATGAATACTAAGTAATTGTCCAACAGCTCTCATTTTAAAATGAAACCAGATAATGAAATAAATTTGATACTTTTATAAGAGGTCCTGGGTTTTTGTCTTTTTTTGGGAGAGAATAATAAGATATGTAAGTTAGACTTTCAAAGGGTTATGAATTTCCATTGTACCTAAATGTATGTATAAAAGCTTAGGACAGTGTTTCTTAAATTTGAGAACCTAAGGATTTTTGAGAATGGTATGGACCAGTTTGAATAACATTTAATGTTATTTTTAGGTTACCAGTACCTACTTGAAGCTAGTATAATAGACACGTTATAACGCCAGACATTGAAATAATTCAATGTTTTATTATGAGCTGGTTGTTCAGGTGATCTAGGATATGCTTTATATATTATCTTTAAAATTAAAACTTGCTTATACAGAACTCCTTCCTGGTCTTCATGAGTCTGCAGAGCCCATTTTAAGAAAAACTAGGTTAAGGTAAATCCAAAATATGTTAGGGTGTCTATAGTTAAGCTGTTCATTGAAAGAATTTATATACATATTTTGCTTATGGAATATTTTAGAGTAATAAAAGCATTGAAGCAAAGAATGTGGTCCTTATAATTCTCACTTCTCTTACTAAAGCTGTGGTTTCACTGGTTCTGTTGTAACAATTTAAAGTATTTTTCTGTGATTTATTAAAGTTGTAACATTAATTTTTTATATTTTTTTTGGCATAAGCGATTTGTTTTTTCTTCAGCTTTTCTCAACATTTATAGAGCTTTTTTATGGTGAGTTCAAGTTTTTTTTTTTTTTTAAATATATATTTTTTAGTTGTAGGTGGACACAATATCTTTATTTTATTTTTATGTGGTGCTGAGGATTGAACCCAGTGGCTCACACATGCTAGGTAAGCGCTCTACCTCTAAGCCACTACCCGAGTCCTTCAACAAGGTTTTATAATATTTATGTATGTTTGAGGAGGAGGCATAAAGCAGAGAATATTGTGAAGTTTGGGATTCTAAAAAAATTCCATCTTCTCTCACCTTAATAAACATTATTTTTTAAAAAATCCCATTTATCCAAAATACAACTTTTTGGTTTCGTTTTGTTGACTATTAAACATGGCTTTTGTAAATCGAGGACTGAACTCAGGGACACTTGGCCACCGAGCCACATATCCATCCCTATTTTGGAAACTATCCCCAGATTGCCTCTAATATTTTATCAGAAATATATAAATAGAGGGCTGGGGTTGTAGTTCAGTGGTTGAGCGCTTGCCTCGAATGCAAGAGGCACTGGTTTCGATCCTCGGCACCACATAAAAAAAAAAAAACAAAGATATTATTTCTGTCTAAATCTAAAAAAAATAACAGATATATAAATAGATTGTGTGTCAGAATTTGACTCATGATATCCACTACTGCTGTATCGGATGTGTAAGTGCATTTTTGAAACTTATGTTTCTTTAAGAATGGACCAAATGAAAATGAGCTTAGGAAGCTTTGGGCAGGAACCCAGGACTGAAATAATAATTAATTGTGCCTTATTCCTCTGTCATTACATGTAAAGGAAAGTGGCAAGGGGCACTGTACATCTTAACTGGTTATAAATAAGAGGAAACTTGATCCTGTTTAGGAATTATTGTTTTTATGTTTGCATATGGTTAGAGGAAATCACTGATTTAGTTAATCTGTAGAATATATTTAAGGACAAGTTCTCCATTTCTCAAACATAGGAAAAGATTCCATGGTCAGATACCTAAAGTTTGGGAAACACAAGCACAACTTGGACAAGTTTCTTTTCTGCATGATTTCTTGGAGTCTTTAACCTAATATGACTGCCATGACTGCCATTGTACTTCTTTTTTCCCCAAAGAACATAACACAGTTTGGAAAAACCTAATCTAAATACATTCAGGTTACACTTTTAAATAAAAGAGGTAGCATTAAAAAAAATCAATATAGTGGTTTTGATTCAGGGTTAATTAAGAAATAGCAAGAAATCTGTTAGAAAAATGGAAAAGACTTATTTCCTCCATTTTTGTTGGTTTTTATACACTTTTCTTTTTTATTATTACTTTTTGTACCAGGGATTGAACCCAGAGCACTGTACCACTGAGCCCCATCCCCAGCCCTTTTTATTTTTTATGAGACAGGGCTACACTAAGTTGCTGAGGCTGGCCTCAAACTTGTGATCCTCTTATCTCAGCCTTCTGGGATTACAGGCATGCACCACCATGTCTGTCATTTTGTTGGTTTTTAACTTAAAATACATAAGGCATAGCTAATTGGCTAGATTTTAAACCCCAGAGACTTTTTTTTTTTTTTGCACCGCAAAGTTTGTGTAATAATTAAGCCCAATATTGTAAAAACTAAAAATATGTGTGTAGCATATATAACATAGGCATAGAAAGCCAGGAAGGACTGGCTCTAAAAGTATTTAGAGTATTTACAATGTTATTTAATTATGCTAATAGGAACATTTTTAATTTTGAGACTAAAATTTTTAAACTACTTTTGAAAAACTATAAAAAAAACTTGTAAATGGCCAAAATGTCATTTTAAAAATGAAATATGGTGGCCAAGCTAATATTTAATATTTCAATTATACTTTGCAAGTGTTTGGCCTTAAAGCCAGGTATTTTTTAAAAATATTTTTTAGTTATTGATGAACCTATTTATTTATTTACATGTGGTGCTGAGAATTGAACCCAGTGCCTCACACATGCTAAGGCAAGCACTCTGTCACTAAGCCACAACCCCAGCCCAAAGTTAGGTATTTTAAAAAAGTTGCTTGGAAAGGCAAAACTTAATCAAGACAAGATTATAGTTCATTTTTAAATATAGAACATCCCCTAAAAACATCCTCTAACAATGTAGTCATCCTACACACTTGCCTGGAGGAGAGGAGTATGGGTGGATTATTATGACCTTCATTCCCACCTCTCAAAACTGCCTTGACTTTACATGCTCTACTAATTGTGTTGGGCCAGTATCATCATTTTATTTGAACATAACGCAGTTTCCCACAAAGATTCTTGGCTAAGATTTTCTTATGTTGCTTATGTAAAACAGGTATTTTAAAATGAAAATTAAAAATTAATGTAAATTCTGCCATATGCTAAGATATTTAAAAACACTATATGGAAAACATTTGCAAAAGATGTACATAGGATGAAATTAATAAGTTAATAGAAATTTGGCAGTAGAGACACTCTAGCATGCTAAAAGTATTTACAATTTTCTTTTCAAGCCAGGATTTAAGAACATGTTAACTGAGTCACAATCCAATTATTACTACAAATTGTAACTTCTTTTATATTACCTAATGGCTAGTTCCTTTTTTGCCTCTGTGGTAAAATACAGTACTGCTTGGTAGTGATCTGACAAGACAAAATGTTTAACCTGCTATTAACAGGGCTGTTGGAACACTCAAATTATCACCTAGGCTCTTTTGTCATTCAGTATGTTATGGTGATTTTGTCAGTTACTTTTTTTTTTTTTTTTAGTGTAAATGCTTTATAAAATAGTTGTATTTTTCTGTAGTTATTAGAATTTTTACCTTTAAGTAAATATTTCAGTGTATGTGGTTTTAGGAATACATTATTAATATTTAACCAACGATTTCCTTGCATTATTCAGAGCATAAAAGTTTGGGTTTTTGTTTCGTGAATATTTATTAAATATCTACTCTACGCCAAACACTGTGAGATAAACTCTACATTAAAATAATGAAAACTTAGTTGTGCACTCTAGAAAATAACCCTTTGAGAGTACTTTTGCATGTTGTCAGTGTCATCTGTCTACATTTTTGTTCAATATACAAACCACTGATTCCCAGCTATCAGTGGAATTGCATTCTGCTTTGAGAACTCGTCCATGTTTTTTTTTTTTTTTCAAAGTAAATTTCATTCTCATGGAATGCCAGTTATCCTATTTCTCTCTTTGCTGTCCTTTAAGATTTCTATGATGGATTGTCTCCTGTTGGTCCTAATTCCTCTCCAAACTCCAGCCACAGTTTAACCATAAGGTAGTTTTTGTCCCATTTTCTCAGCAAGGTGGTTCCTTTTTATGAGCTAAATTTCTTTGCATTTACACATTTTATCCAAGTTCATGTTTTTGATTAGTCCTTTGGAATTTTTTTTAATATTTATTTTTTAGTTTAGTTGGACACAATACCTTTATTTTATTTATTTTTACGTGGTGCTGAGGATCAAATCCACTGCCTTGCACATGCCAGGCAAGTGCTCTTCTGCTGAGCCATAACCCCAGCCCGTAGTCCTTTGGAATCTTAATAGGGTACATCAACAAAAATAAAAATATCAGTTTTTCCTTTTATATTTTATCATTTGGGAGAGCCACTACCCTTATTCTGCCAAGATATATCCTTCCACCTAAGGATCCTATATGCACTGAGCATTCACAACTACCTGAACACTCCTTAGAGTAGTAATCTAAAGAAGGGAAAAGCAATTCTAAGCAAATTCATGAACAAGATGAGGACTAAATCAAGTGTAAGATTTAAGGCTAAAGAATTTACACTTCAATGCTTCATAATCTCATGTTACTTATGGGTACTAAAAATGAATTCTTAAGCTAGAATACAGAGTTATTATACCCAGAAAATATAAAGTAACCAACCTTTTATTTGTTAAAATTGTTATATCCATGTAAATTAAATGATTTCATCAGTGCAATTCATTGATTTTGGCTCTTGCCATCTTGTGGAATCCAAGATCCTGGCTGAAAGGTTTTACCAGTGCTGGTGGGTGCCTCTGAGGGTTCTTCCTTTCCAAAGTATGGAGCAGAGGCATGCCCTTTAATGTGAGTTTGAACAGGTGGAGGCAAGTGTTCCTTGATGGTCTCTTTACTAAGGAGTTTTTCTTTTTCATAAAAATCTTGACTTTTAATTTTCATTTCTTCTCTATATTTCTCATTCTTTAATATTTCCTGCACATATATACATATAAATAGAAAAAATATCAAATTAAAAGCTTAAATACCAAAGAAAGGTTTTATGAAAACAAAAGTCAATAAAATAAAAAATACATACATGATACTTGCTTTTTCAATTAAATTTGTGGATATATACAGGATAATTTTTAAAAAATTTGATTATCTGTTAAAATAATTCTCATTTTATGTTAAGATTTTATGGTAGAAATAGACATGAAGGACCACAGAATAGAAATATTTTCTATCCCAAAATGGAAATAAGCTATTAAGCATGAAATATTACACAGGAGCATAAGTCACTTAATGAAAGAATTTGAAAGATTATCAACTATTTTCTGCCTTAAAATTCTTATTTTGTGGGAACYAAAGTGTTAATGCTAAGGCCACCTTATGGTTCCAAATCCAAGCCATCTATCTCCCCTTCTTTAGAGCGATAATGGCAGAGGATAGGAATGGAATCTGAGTTCAGTATGCCCTGGACACTAGTTCCAAAGGCACTTTGCTATTGGAAATGCTTCCTCAGATCAGTACAATCTGTGCAGTKCACTTCTGTTTCTCAGATTTGCTATTCTATCTAGAAGGATTTATACCCAAAGTRACAATCTCTTAGCTATTTTACTAAACACAAGACCATCGAATTTAAGAAGGGGCCTTAAATGTACCACTAAAGGCATTTAAGCTTCAGTATTCATCCTTGATTTCAGTGATGCCAAAATTTAAAAAGATGTGCATCTTAAAAACAGATGAAATGTTTTTCTTCTATCTATCTTGATTATTTTTAAGTGAATTTAAAAAATTTCAATACCTTTATTTTATTTGTTATTAGTTGGTGCTGTGGATCAAACCTAGTGCCTCACATGTGCTAGGCAAGTGCTCTACCACTGAGCTACAACTCTAGCCCATGGATGAAAAATTTTAATGTTGTTTTTGCTTATCGGGGTTTTCTGATTTTTCTTTAGGATTAAATGTCATTTATAATACAAAAATTAGAACATTAATGTACCTAATATCACAACATTGAAAAAAACAAATTCTCAAGTTTTTAAAAAAATTTACCACTTTTAAAAAACGACACTTTAAAGGGCAACATCACAGCATCTATGATGTAATCTTTCTGTTTCTAAAGTGAATTTCAAGTAGTATAGTCCTTTAAAACCATAAGCACCGATATTTAAAATAATGGGTTGAAGTTAAGAGAAGGTGGCGTATGCCTATAATCCCAGCTACTTGAGAGGCTCAGGAGGTGGATCTCAACACCTGGGCAACTTAGTGAGACTGTGTCTCAAAAAGTAAAAAGGGCTGTAGCTTAGTGGTAGGGAGTCCCTGGATTCAATCTTCAGTATTCTCCCTGACATGTGAACAAAATTAAAATTTAAAAAATTGCTATAGTTTTATAGACTTATATATGAAGGATGGCCCATCTAATGAAATTTCTCCCTCAAACATATGAGGAAAAGAACAATATTTATAAATGTTATTGTAGTTTTCACAATACAGAGCAAATCCGCATGCATAATTTAATAACCACAAGAAGTTTAGGGGCAGCTGCTAACAAGTGAGGGTGAGAGTAGAGAAATCAGGCTTTGCTTTTCTTACACCATATAGAACTCTTATGTAAGGTGATTTTATACAAAGGTAATTCTTTCCTGTGATATTGGAAATAATGCAAGTTAGACAAGAATACTTTTTTGGTATTGCCATGTTTTTCAGGTTCCTGTGTCTTCATATGAAGCTCAATCTGGGGAGCAGAATGGAAGGTTCAGGGCCAGGTTAAATTTACCCTGGTAACTGATCTCAAGTAGCAAGAGGCTACTCAGGCTGACATGGAGCTTGCTTGATCTTGGCAAAATAACATCAGTCACATCCCCCAAAACTGTGCCCATGCCTACTCTATTTACTTCACCACCATTGCTGCAGTTGCATAGTTGGTACACAGATGTGCCCTCTGAATAACGGAGGATGGGATGTAGCTCTGTGGTAGAGTACTTGACTAATTTACATGAAGCCCTGGATTCAATCACTAGCACCTCAAATAAATAAATAAATAAATAAATAAATAAAAAAGAAAAAAGCATCTCTTATTTCTCTTGCTTTCAAATAATATTTCTTTATTTGACATTACTTTTTAAAAAATATTGTTTCTAGTTGTCAATGGACCTTTATTTATTTATTTATATGTGGTATTGAGAATTGAACCCAGTGCCTCATGCATGCTGTTCATCTGCAACTAAAAAAATATAAAACAAAAAAACATTACTTTTCCAACTCAATTTCTGTCTTATAAAACAGCTATTTAAATAATTGAAAAGCCACTAATGATTATGGTGATCATTTTGACATGTGCAGATGGATTAAAGATTGCAGAGTTGAAAAACATGGAGACTATACTTTTTCCTAGAAAAATTATTTATTATTTTTTGGTATCAGGAATTCAACCCTGGGATGCTTAACCTCTAAGCCACATCCCCAGCCCTTTTTATTTTTAATTTTGAGATGGTCTCACTAAGTTGCATTGGGCCTCACTAACTTGCTGAGSCTGGCCTTGAACTTGTGATGCTCCTTTCTCAGCCTCCTGAGCTGCTGGGATTATAGGCATAAGCTGCTACAATGGGATATTATTATTATTTTGTAAACTAATTGCTACCAGGCATAACCCTACTAATAGCTTCTAGGGAAATTAAACAGAACATAAATCATTTATAAAAGGAAATCTAATTTTGTAACCATTTGGTATTAGGGAATTATATTAAGAAAGTCTATTTTAGCATGGAAACTACCCTAAAGCAAAGATTTTTTTCCTTAGAATTCCTTGGAACAATATCACCTCACCTTGTCTCCATGTATTTATCAATTAAAAATTTCAGTTTCTTTATRTTCTAGTGTTTTGTGTAGGGACAAATCAGAAGCCAGGGGAGCTTTCTTTATAGTTTGTATTTTAAAAACACATTTATCATTTTACCTATTGCTTTTCTTCCTGTCAATGTTTTTTCTTAAACTTAAAAAAAGATGGCTGTTGACATTTTATCACTTTATATTGTGCCATGATTTATTTAACAATTACCCTATTTTTCCTAATATTTCACTTCATTTAAAAAATAAAAAAAATTAAAATTGTGATGATTATCCATGTAGATTATTCTTTGACGCAGGGTTCCAACCCAAATCTACCTTTCACTACCTGTGTGACACCAAAAAAGTCACTTAACTTTCTCAATACTAATTTCTTTCTTTGAAAATGAGGATAAAATTAATTGATAACAGTATTATGTTTCCTAAGATTGTGGACAATATATAACAAGGTAATTATGCTCTTATAAAAATATGATGCCAAATGAAGTATCTTTTTTCTTTCTGTTCCCTTTAAGTAATCTCTATAGAGTTCCTTTAAAGATTGACAGGTCTATACAGATTACAAATTCTTCCATATTCTAATGTAAGCCAAACATTACTATTGGTTTAAAATTATGAATCTTTAAAAAATGTGATTATGTATGTATTGGTGTTTACACTTAAAATACTCATTAGTTACTCTTTCCATTGTTAAGATTCCTCTGAAAGCTTTTCAATGGTGGTTAAGAAATGGGATCTGAAGTCAGACTACCTGCATACAAATCCAAGTTTTTCCATTTTACTAGTTCTGTGACCCAAGGATTGTTACTTAACCTCTCTCTGCTCAGTTTCTTTATGTGTAAAATGGAGATAACAATACTGTATTCCTCAATGAGCTGCTGTAGAGATTGGGCAAAAACTGGTGGCTGGGTAGTGATAGTACAAATAAGGTATAGGTGGATTTCAAAGTAGTGACTGTTTAATTCATTCACTAAAAAAAAGTTAAAGTAAAAAAATTCAGTTTGATTGCATTAGCCACATTTCAAGTATTTAACAGCCATCTTGGCTATCATATTGCAAAGTACAGATACAAAATATTTCCATCATTGCAGAAACAGAAACTATTGGACTGCACTAATCTAGATCTATCCTAACAAAACTAAAAAATAATATTCCAAAAGTTTGGGCTAACACACATGCCAATTAATGGTTCTCCTGAACAAAATCAATATTTTCTAAAGGAAGACAACAAAGCCAGACATTAAACAAAATAATATTTCAGTGTTCATCATACAACCAAGAAGCAAAAAGGAGAAAAGTATGATTGAAAATTAGTTAATGGAAACAGACTCAAATAACAGAAATGACTGAATTTAACAGATTTTATCAAAATAAAAATGTTCAAAGATTTAAAGGAAAAATGTCCATTAAGAGGAAATAAAAGAACTGGGCTTCTAGAAGTGAAAAATAAAATATATAAAATGAAATATTTAATGGAGTGATTAACAGATTAGACACTGCAGAAGAACAATCTGAAAATAAGGCAATGGAAGATATATAAGCTGAAGCAAGTAGTTTTTTTTTTTAGCTTAAAAACTGAAAAGAGCCTCAGGGAGCTGTGGGACAGTGTCAAGTGGCCTAACATGCAAATGGAGTCACTGAAGAGGAAAGAATGACTAAAAAACCCAAACAGATAAAAATATAAATCTGTATATTCAATAAGCAATACAAACACCAAGCAGAATAATCATAAAATCCAAGTACATCAAAATCAAATTGATAAAAACTAATGATAAAGAGAAAAATCTTAAGCTAACCATGGGGGAGAGGGGACATACACATTTATAGAAGAGACAAATAGCACTGAGTTCTCATCAGAAACAAAGCTACCAATAAGATAGTGGAATGATTTTAAAGTGCTTTAAGATAAACTGCCAATTTAAAATCCTGAATCCAGTGAAAATATCCTTTAAAAATGAAGAAATAAAAACATTTTCAGACAAAAAAGTGAATTTGTCTCAAGCAAAAGAAACATCTTCAAGCCAATCTACTACAAAAAACATCACAGGAACTCCAGGAACAAGATGGAAACCTAAAGCTACACAATAAAATAAACTGCTGGAAATAATAAGAAGGAAGAACTTCATTGCAGAGGAAAATACAGA